CGTCAATGCTGCGAATTAGCAGCGTTTTGTACAGTGCATGGCCTGATTTTCAGTGCTGTGATCGGTAGAGCCTAACCAACATGTAGGAAATTGGAAGCTGCCATGGGCGAGGACAAGCAGATTGCTTTATGGGATGAGGTTAGAGGAGGAATGTGCATGGCATTGTAGACACTAGGGACGTTGGTCGTACAGAAACAGAGAAAATAGATGAGGAGAAGGAGAAGCAGGAGGAGGAGCAGGAGAAAGAGGAAGAGGAGAATAATGTTAGACTCGCTGAACGTTCCCATCCTGTTTGTTACCCAGAAGCAATTGATCAGTTCCGTAAGTGTGCCCTTTTCTTCTTTCTCTCCTCCCTTTGTCTCTTCGTTTCCACCCCTACTGCCCACCTCGCATGTGGTATTTAGTGCCAATTGTGAATTACCTACTACATCCACTGAAACAAAGAACTAGAGAGAGAAAAGATTTTTGTGTTTCATGCCACCTGTACTGACCAGGATGATGTTGGTGTGGTTAGAGAAGTCGGTGGACTCGAAGTACGAGATATGCATTTGCACATGTTGTAGTGGTGCCAGAAGCAGTTTCCCATTTGCATCGCCTCTACTCCATTCATGGCCATCCACCGATGGTGAGGAATCGTGCAATGGAGGAGACGGCCAAGTCTTCACTCGTGATTGCGATGCCATCCTTCGGTAAGACTCAGTATTATTCCACCAATTCATGCCATTTTCTTGTTGCGTACTGTCAATCGTCAGTGTAACTTCAATGCCGAGGCGACTAGTGAATATTCCATTGTGCTTTTGTTCGTTGTAGTTTATCGACCACCTGGAACGTTTCCTGTGCAAATCGTGGAATACTACGAAGGTGATTGTGTTTTACATTGTGGTTGACATGCTGAGTTGAGAGGAGAGATGTGTGGTAGTGAGAGACAGTGAATTGAACTGGAGTTGCTTGTGCCTTGTAGATGACTGGTCAGTTGGAGGGGAAGAAGATACATGTAGGCGCACAATTGAGGTGCTCAGATACATGCATTGCATAGGTGTGTGTCTGTTTGTAGGTGATGGGATACTGGATCTGCGAGAAGGGAAGGGGATGGAGAAAGGATGGGGGTTGAAGTAAGAGTGAGACCGTGAAGTTGAAGACAAACGAGAACCGGGATGGAAATACGCAGGAGGAGTAAGAGAAGGAGGAGGAGGAGGAAATGGAGGTGGTTGAGTTTGAGGCAAAGAAGAATGGAGGTGAGAAGGAGAAAAAGAATGGAGAGTGTTCGTTGGCGAATGTGGACCTGAAGAAGGAGGTAGAGGTGGCGTTGGAGGCGAGGGCAGAGGTGAAAGCGGAAGTGGAGGAAAGAAAGACGAAGGTAGAGAGGAGAAGAGGGCGATAATGGTTGAGGCGAATTCAAGCTCGTGTAAAGAGCCGCCTTCGTCTGCCACGAATGCGTGCTTGTGTTTCAAAAAAGACTGAAGCGTTATGATCAAATTTACACGTAATAACATATTGTGAAGGAGATTCCAATTATGTGTAGTATCATCTTGCAAGTAGCTTTGCATTTGAAATCACCCGCCTAGTAGAGAAAGTTATTCACAGCAATTGATCGGTCTCCTATTAATGCATTGGTTTGCAACACTGGTGGATTCACAATAAAGCACGGCGGAGAATTGAGAGGCAGTAAATACAAATAATCTCCTTCCATACGGTACCTAAGACTGCAAAGTTGGATTACATATACCCCTATTTATTGTCTTC